TTTATGCACAGTTGATCTGTGCTCTCTCTCTATCTCTCTGTTGGTTTCGCTTTTCTTCACAGTTACTTACAATTTGTTTTTGTGATTTATTTACTTCCTTCTTACCGAATTTTATTGACTTGGTGTATTGCAGCTTGAAATAGAATGTCTGCATAGTTGGACTGAGCTGCGTGTTGCTTTTGTTTTATTTTCCCACCCCGAAATTAAGCCCAATCCCTATCCTTCTTACACATTCTAACTTGCCTTGTATGCACTATGAATTTGGCAGCAATCAGTGAAGTTCGCTCCACTGCATTAGGCTGTAGAATGATGACGACTTAGGAAACTATCTTATACTGATTCGGTATAAAGTGTCGAGCATATTCCCAGAACCACCTGCTTCAGTGGACAGCACTCCCGTTGCCAAGGCCGGTTTACCTCAACAAGAACCATATGAGAAGCTCGGTTATTCGACGAGTCCGGGACGAGTAACATTTCGGAGCCCGAGAAACCCACTTTGGGGACACAGTGAAGCGTTTGGATGCAAGGTGTGAATGAACTATCCGAAAAGCTGTGATCCGTATATTGGGAGAGATAATCCCACGAGTATTTTGTTACACATTCAACCATAAGGCAAATGCCGATCGGTTTATTGGGGGTAGCATGTGATGATGAAAAAACATGCCAATTCCAGTTCATCGCGGAAAACAGTGAAATCTGAAAGGTATCACAAATAAATCCAAAATCTGTGCCCAAAGCTGATTCATTCAAGGCCCTTCAAATGAAGCCAGTCAACAGAACGAGCGGGGAGAATCAGAGAACAATCGGTCGTACTTTATTTACACCTCAACAATGGGGATAATAATGAAGTGAATTTAATGATTCAGTACAGTTGTCGGGTTCCGAATGAAATCTACCAAACAAATACTTCGAGTCACACGCCGCGTGAGCAACGACTGGCTGGCCGATTTCGCTTGAACAGCTTTAGAGACCAACCTCAGTGTTTCATTGTCTTCGCCGAGATGAACATCATCTGCGAGCAGAGATTGGACGTGTCCCTCAATGGACTCTACCGGACCCTGTAAATCAACCAAGCCGGGGCGAGTGAACAGCAAGTCACCGTAACGCTGAAGAATGGTCTCGAGACATACGCAAGCCAGATCCACATCAAGTTTTCGCTGGAACCTGGAACCATGATGGAAAAGCGGATCGGTGGGTCAAATGCATCAATACTGATCAGTTGTGTTAGGCAGAGAGTGAAAAAGAAAAACCATCATTCAACGAGAAGATCCTCTTCTGGTAAATGCAAACCAATCAACTTCGATGGCTATTTGCATNTATTTGCATCGGTCTCCTAGAAGGCATCATTCAGACCACTCGAATCGGGAGAAGATTGATTGCAAAAGAGCGAAAAAATGAGTTTACACGATGAGCCAAATGCGGACAATGCGTGACTCGGAAAGCAAAACGACCCTTAAATATTTTACACCTTATAGGTGAACTACTGAATTATCGCTGAGGAATGTACAAAAGGTGCTTCTTCCTACTTGTATGTGGGTACATATTAGCAGACCCAACTGTTGTTTGTGTCTTAAGTATAAGCACTAATCGGCACATACCCGGTTGTGGCGACCCCGTTCGGAAAGAGTTGGACAACACTGATTGTATACGCGAACAAAGAAAGAATGGACGCTCGATATTCAACGACTGACGGAATCGAATGTTGTACCCATCCAGGACAGTCTAGTCATAGTGTGCAAGATTCGCTATTCCCCCGCTCTACTCCCGAATGTCCGTGTTGGATCCGTGGCATATCCGGTCAATTCGCGCTAATGCCGATTACGAGCAAAGACGAACCCATCGGGCAGAGTTTAGGAAGCATTATAACCATGTGTGTCACACTCAGATAAAATAAAAGCTCGCATGAGCCGTCAAATTGTAATGATTCTCCGTCCCTATTGTCATTGTGTAACAGACGCTTCAGCTGGCATTGTTCAGTTGGTTATATGAATCGGAATTATTTTATTTTTTGTAAACAATTTTTAACTGCCCGAAAATTCTCCAACGGATTAGTTAGTTTGTTTGCTTGCACAACAATTTACAAAGTAGTTCGCTTATTCTTCCAAAGACATCCTAAACGGTGTTTTTTATCTGCTCATTTGGACAGTATTTTGTCCAAGTAGTTTTGGTTATCGATGTAGTTCTGCCGACATAACCTTGCAGCATGTCCAGTTAATAAGGCTTACCACTCGAAGCTCACTCGCCGTTCACTGTTTTCCCAAGTCATAAAAGCGATTTGCTTTTACGAGCTGAGGGTTCAACTTTTTAGTTCTACTTGTGTTAGACGCCTCTCGTGATAGTGATAAAAATCTCTGGAAATCTGAAACTTCGTATTGGTCTACGCACGTACGTTGTGTGTGGCGACTTGCGTTGTGTCGTAGAATAAACAACACCGCAATTAACAACGTAACAGCCACTAACCTCCTTGAAGCAGATAACAAATGCGAAACTGGGAGTCGAGAAATCATCACGCTGTTATCTCCTCCTCCTCATACACTGGGAGAACTTGTCTGTGTGACCTATCGAAAACCGGAAAAACAACCGCCTGAAATGAGCAACTATTGGTTCCAAATCGAAAAAGTTCGGAATACGTTGCGGTATATGCACAAGGGGACAATATAACTCTCACAAGCTAACAGCCATCCGATACAATGTTTCTTTTGCGGCTCGTGCATGACTATGTTGCACTGTTACCAGCGGATAGGGTGGAGCAATTCCACCCAGATTTCGACATCAATATCGACCATTTGGTGGTATGCGAATGTACTGTTGAACACTTTTGTGCAATCCGCCAACCGATTCCCGATCAAATGGTTTAGAGCGGTGTGTGCAAATTTGCGCTAGGCCCTAGTGATACGAGTGATCAAAGTGATGGGCACCGTTCTGGACGAGTACCAGTTGAGATGGGAGAAGAGATCTGATTTGACGCGAATGTCAACTGGCTCTGGTTTGTGGAAGTTCATCACCGGTAGCTTGTCCCTTTGCAAACACAAGCGGAATAATTCACAAATTGCGTGATGGTAGGCAGCTTGGCTGTCCTACGGTTCAATACCACGCCTAACCTAGCGGGCCTTATGCGTTTTGCCACTCTAAGTCCCGGGGCTTAGGTTGCCGGTTTCCACCACTGAGAGGCAGGTCTTCGTGACTATGGGCCCCTCCCCGCCTGCTATTTATCACACCAAGTTGTGTAATCAAAACAATTTTAAAAAAAACAGAGACCATC